TAACCTTTTTCCTTTTGTGAGTGGCGGTGGCGCGTAATGGATTTATTAATTCAAGCTCGACCTTTATGCAAACAAAGTATCTGGGTGGCGGGCTGATACGCGGATAAACGCGGCTACTAAACCAAAAATATTTCCCTCCGCTGGCGCATATATAGGCAAACAAATTGCATTCTGCTCCGTTTAAACTTTCCGCCGTGACGATATCGCGCGCATTTTTCTGAGAACAACGCGCAAATAAAATACCCACCGCCGCGGAATCGGCAGTTTTTATGCTATATCACGATGAAAATGTTTCCGCTGAAAATGTTGCGAGGCGCGTGAATATTTTCGAGGATTTCAAAGGCTTTCCGGGGATTCTTGAAAATATTGCCCGAAGATTCGACCCCGTGAAAGATGAAAAAGCCCCGTGCATGAAAGCGCGGCGGAATTTTCCCGGTAAAACGAACGAAATCGTGATTAACTCGCAGGTAATCCATGAGATTCAATTAAGAGCTCGTTGATCATGACGGGAGTAAAGCGCGCAAGAGATGCCTCGAGGTATCACACGTCATATTTAATGCTTTCACTCTGATTTACGAATTGTTTTTTTTTTTTTAATAATTTATGATTGTTTTACGTATACATATTAATTATGCGTTTTTATACGTCTCAACAATTTTTGTCTTTTATTAGCATACACTGTGAGAAAAGAGATATCTGAAAAATAAAAAATTTTAAATGGCTGTTAATAACACATTTACTTAATCTAAATTCTTTTGTTTAAATTAAATAAACAATTGTTTTTATAATAAGCAAGTTTTATGAAAATGTTTTTTTGGTAAAAATTACATTTACTATATACAATCTATTATATACAATATAAATATATTTAAGCAACAATTTTAAAATAAAAAAGTATTTGAAATGTATTTGAGAAGCATTTAAATAATATTGCATTGTAATATAATTATAAATATTTAAGTGAAGAAAACAATAAAGTTATATTAAAATTATATAATTATAATTAAGTAAAACACACAAATATATATTTTTAAAAATATATTAAGTAAAACATTTTTAAAAACATTAATTTAGTAAACAAATTTTTTTTTATATATTAAATAAAAAATATATATTTGAAAATAATTTATTTTTAATATAAAAATATATAAATTAGTACAAGTAAATGTGTTAGTACGCGTCTAATAAATACTTCTAAATATCTTCTTTCTCAGTGTAACCATAAATGTTTGGATGAAGAAACACTTGTCGAGTTACGCTTCTCGTGAAATTCGCACACGCGGAAAGAATTGTATATTAAAATTACTATAAAACTCCATGTGATCGAGAAGGAAAATAGATCAGTATTCTAATTCACCATTCTTTTATTTCATATGCTACTTATGTATGTTTTAGGAACTGAAATGTACTATTAAAATATTTGCGCTATATTTCTAACGAAATTTGTTCCTTATCAAGATAGATCTTACTGACAGTCTATTCCTGGATTACTAAAAACACAGTTTTTAAAATTCAAAACAATTTATATATAAAAAAAGAAACTATAACATTTTCACTCGTGTATGATCCAAAAGTGGATGCGGAAAAACTCAGAATAGCGAGTCGTTCAACTTATTAAGCGCTCTTATTAATCAAGCGTTATTATAATACCGTATTACGATAGATCCCGGCTTTCAGCGTAAGCCAGGCACGAACTCACTTTATATGCGCGGCATAATCACAAATGAGAAATTGCTCGAGAGGCGAATTCCGGGCTCGCGCGTTTCATTGACCAGCGGCGCGGAGGGCGCAGTGGCGGCACTACTGCTACGGCCGATAAGAGACGCGCAACGCGACACGGTGAATAATACGGACGCGGCCACGAAAACTTGCCGCGCGGATCCGACATATCCGCATGCCCTGTCGCGCCCGTAAAACGCAAATGCGAACGTAAAAGCGCGTGAAACGCGCGTGGAGGCGAGCCGCGATTCGCGGCGACAGATGCGCGTTAGTGCCGCAGTCAGACCGCAGCGAATTCTCGCGACCTTCCGCATGTGCGGGCGACTTTCGGCAGGAAGCGCGCGACAGTGCCTGACGTAAGCAAAAAGATGCTGCCGCACTGTTATGATAATTTAATTTCACTTGTAGATTTTTTTAATGAACGTACGATCAGATTCAACGTACAAATTCATGCATTTATTCGTGTTTTTGCTCGTTATCATTCATCGAGGTTTTTCATTGATTCAGCATTATCGTCACATCTCACGGAATTACTCAGTAAAATTTCGTAAGATTTGTTACACACACACATACGGGAATTGCACAATTACTTCTTATTGCAAGAGATAACTCGGAAATGTCATCTTATTGGAAATTCAAAGGGATGATAATATAACATTGAATTCATATAGATTTAGATTAATAATGATTAATAAAAAGAATGGAATATACATTAATTTCTGCATCGAATTGGATTTAGATTTAGGGGGAAATTTAAATTAGGTTGGAATCTCATTCAACGTAAAGGCTGATGTATATTCGAGTCTATTATTCGTTAGCATTAATCTAAGTTTATTAATTCAATATTATCGTCATCCCGTCGAAATTGTAGCAAGAAGAGATTATTATTCCGAGATTACAATTCTTATTACATGAGAGATATGATTCTTCTCACAAGAGATAATCCGGAATTAATATCTTCTTATTAAAATTTCGGAGAGACGACAATAATATTGAATTAATAAACTTAGAAATTAATGATAGTAAATTAAAAATTCTGATATCGATTTCTACGTTGAATCAGATTTAGATGCAGGTAAAGATTTATATTAACAGAGTCTGATTAAATATAAAGATTGAAGCATATTCGGGTTTATTATTCGTTAGCATTACTCTAAGTTTATTAATTCAATATTATCGTCAACTCATCGAAATTTTAGTAAAAAAAATTATTATCCCGAGATTACAATTTTTATTACAAAAGAAATACGATTCTTCTTACTAAAGTAATTCGAATTAGTATCTTTCTTATTAAAAATAAGGAAGAATGACAATATTGAATCAATAAAGTTAGATATTAATGATAAAAGAAAAACTCGAATATATCCAAATTTTTACGTTGAGTTAGATTTAGATAAAGATTTAAATTAGAGTCTGGTTCAACGTAGACATTGATGTGTATCGAATCGTTTTGACTGGTTATCGTTGATCGAAATTTTACTAATTTTATTAAAATTTTATTAATTTCATTATCGTTATTTCTTTGAATTTCCAGTAAGAAACAGTCATTATGCACAAAGATTGCAATTACTTCTTATTATCGCGAGAAAACTCTTATCGTAAGAAAAATCTTATTAGAAGAGGTAACATGGAACTGATGACTTGTTATTGAAAACACGGAGAGGTATGACGTAAGTGAAACGTATCTCCCCTCGATGTACAATCAGCGGGATACACGGCCTTGGAAGGAGGGTGGTTTATCGCTTTCGAGAGTCGCGTAAAACGATTCAGAGCGAGCGCGTTTACCGTACGCCTTAGAGCGCGCATCCGGCAACGTTATACCGCGTATCGCATCGCCGTAATTACAAATGACGATGATATTACGGTCGTGACGCGCGCGCGGCTACCGTTACGTTGTCGCGTAATGTCATAATAACGTTATAGGCGTCCGGGCGCAGTCTACAATCGCATTTTGTGCGTTTGATATCGTCCGCCGCGTCCGTAACGCTCACACGCCAATCCGAATATTCACACGTCACGTCACTCACGTTCGCGCGGACGTACTGAGAGAAAAAGTTTGGCTAATTTAACGAAATACCAGTATCCGCAACAAATGGCTTGTTAATATTGCCCAATGACCACGTAGTGAAAACAAGTAATTTGTTACTTTCAATTTGCTGCTCTAAGCGACGCCTCCTTGAAGGAATGCTGAAAACTTTACCGAATACTGGCATTTTCTGCAAAGTTTACGTCGTATTGGTTGTACAGGATTACTTCTTATTATTGCGGGAAAATTCTTATTGCAAGAGATACAAATCTTATCAGAAGAGATAACATGGAACTGATGGCTTCTTATTGAAAACTCGGAGAGGTATGACGATAAGTGAAACGTATCTCCCCTCGATGTACGATCAGCGGGATACACGGCTTTGGAGGGAGGGTGGTTTATCGCTTTCGAGAGCTCCGCAAATTACAAATGTTTTTACGCAATAAAAGTACGTGCAACAATAAATAGGAGCATTGCTCAATATATGACGAAAACGAAAAAAATTGTTCACATATCTCAAGCGTAATATTTGTCTAATCCAAAATTTCGTAGCTTGTACATGCCGAAAGTGTGGATGCTCCAAACAGAAAATTTTTGGAGGACATTGCATACACCTTCACATCCGAATTCAGAAACTTAAAAATATTCGGAAAGTTTGCAGAAAGATTTCTGCAGAGATTATATAAAAAATTCAAGGTGACTTTGATTTCTTTATTGAAAACAAATTTGTTTACTTTTTATTATTGCAGTCTGCACGAAGCAGTTGAAGATTTACCTTGCGACTTTTTCCTCAAACCGTCGGAAATGTCTAAAAAATCATGCAGATTGTTACGGTGGACATTCTGTATACATCAGTATGTGATTTTACAAAATATTTTATGAAAAATTCCCAATAGCGAAAATTTCAAACGGCTTGAACGGAAAAAGTTCAGGATGGGGCGCGTACGATTCGCGCGCTATGGAACGTGTTGAGGTGATGAAAAATGATTTGCAACAATAACCGTTTGTTCGACGATCTAACGATCGTCAAGCAGCGAGCACGCGCGCTTTCGTTCTGATGGTCGAGGGACTTTTCTCTCTGATGAAGCGACAACGCGACACTCTCGTGCACGCTAAACGCCGTCGAGTCCGGGCGATTTAACGTCACCGGGCTGATCGAGCGCAGCCTTGTGAACGTCAGGGTGCGAACGCGCGCGTAACCACTCGTTGGTTGCAGGTCGAACAAGGACATTCACACGGCCTCTCGACTACTTACCTGACGACGACGGCGGCGAGAAAGCGTGAAATTCGCAGGGAATCCGTCGGGCGCGGTGCACGCCGCGACGAGTCGCCGATTAATTAGCGCCAATTATGCAGTGGCTCTAAGATAATTAGCGACGCTTAACCCCGTGTTGACTCGCTCGATCTCATCGCGAACGCTTCGCCGCGTACTCTGCTATCAACGTCCACACACACACACACATACACGTACACGCGCGCGTGTGTTTTCTCTCTTCCTCTCTTATCACAGTTAATTCAACAAGCAACAACGATGTTCGCTCGTGCCGCGAAACCGACCGTCTTTACCCGATTTTATCCGCGCTGCAGGAAACGCTCACTCGATACTCGATTGTTTCACCCCGGAACTGTCACTGTTGTGTCGTTGCTCCGTTAACTATCGTCACTCCTTCTCCGCGAACTCGCTCCGGTCTTCGCTGGTCCTTGCTGATCGGGGCTGTTATCGTCGTACTCGCGTTTGATTTCCGCAACGGAGCACAGAACCGCGACGTCAATCCGTTACGGTCCGGTGTGTTGCCACTGGCGATGGGCGACGGATAAAGCGCAGCTGCCTCTCACAGCTACTCCTGCACTCGCGGGATTGCGAAACACGTCGTCGTGCTGCGGCAGGATGAGTCGCGTGTCTCGGGATACTTCCGCGATCGCGCGAAACTGAACGGTTTCTGCTGGGCTGCTCTTCCTGCGCTCGCTTCCGCGAACCCTCCCGAGCTGCGGTCGCAACGTCTGCTGGAACTGACAAGTCTCCGCGACGGCGGCTGCACTTACCGGTGACTTGGTTCAAGTCCCGCGAATCAGTACGGCAATCATGCGGCGAAATGATGATAATTAGGGATCGAGCTCGCGGCTGACAGTTGCGGACGCCGACTCGGCGGCAGTCCCGGCTGAAAGATGCCAAGGGCCGGGGTTGATTAACGCGCGCCGAGGCACAGCCGATCGCCGATATCGATTAACGAATTATCGGCCGACAATTAACACGGAAATAATCGCGACTTGTCCTGGCTGTTCGTGCACGATCGGAAAGACTCTGTCTGAACGCGGAAACGCAAATCTGATTTCGAGTATCTGGGTTTGCCCGCTTCTCTTTCTCATTCTCCTTTTTTCCTCGATCCTTCAGTTCAAATGAGACTGAGTGAGAATAAACGATTAGCTGAACTCGATTACAGAATCCGCGGCAAATCGAAGTCCCAACTGAACGAAGAGGCGAGCATGCGATGAGCGCCCGAGTTCAGTTCCAGTTTTGAGCCTCGAGAAAAAGAGAGTGTCTCTGTTTCTCTCTTTCTCTCTCTTGCGTTCTCTTTTTCCTTCTGTCTTCCTCTCTCCTGAGGGAAGCTCCCGAGAATTCCGAGGGGCACAAACACGATCGTCACATAATCCTTGCGCGAATCGGCGTTTCAGGAAGTCTCGGGGACGGTAGCTCCAGGTATCGCGTCGCACCTGGACCCGCGGGCAGCCTTATCCCCTCCGAGCGTCGTCGCACCCGTGTCCATCCTCCGGAGGATCATCGAGCGGCATCCCCTGGTCGAACTGGGAGCGATTTCGCGATCACATCCCACCTGTCCGTCGCGCGTTCACTGTTCACAGTCGCCGCAACAGCCGTCCCACTTGCTCTTCTTTCGGACACTGACTAGGGACAGCCCGAGCTCGCGTTCCAAAGGCCAGTCATAGATCACGAAAGTCGTCCCGCGAGATCGAAAGGGATACCGGCGGGAACCAGGAGAGGGATCGACGCGCGGCGATCGATCGATCGATCGATCGATCGCGAGTTCAGCCGACGATCATCCCGGGCGCGAGACGGTGACAGGCCGAGAGTCGAGAGTCATGCGGATCAGACGAGATAGAGAGATAGAGGGTGACAGGAAGGGTTTGAAAGAGAGAGAAAGAGAGGGTGGTTCGCGCTCAGTCCGTACGACGGTACTGCGGCCGACGTGCCGGCGACGCGCTTCCACCACCGCCGCGATGGGAAAGCCCGTCCCGTGGTAGTTCCGTACCGCGGAGTGGCGCGCGGCTGTCTGCGTGCGCGAACTGGCGCAAGCTCTCCTCGGCGAAGCTCGGCGGCGACGCAGCCGAGCGACGGAAGCCGCGCGCTCGCCGACGAGAAAGCTCGATATCGTCTCGCGATAGGACTCGCGAGAGCGCGAGATGCACGCGAAGGGGATGATGAGTCCGCAGCGACGAAAATTCGCGCGCTAATTCCGCGACATTAGTCCAGCGAGCTTGCAGCGTGTGTTGCTGCGGGCATTAGGCGGCAGCTCCCTCGCTAACGATACACGGCGTAAAGCGATGTTACGTTGTATTAATGGAGCGCGCACGCGTCCAAGTGCGACGTCGCGTCGTTAACGGTGATTTTCTGCGAATACGGCCGTGTGTGCGTGTCTGCTGCGCGCGCGTGTGAGAGTCGTTGAAATTTGTATTTTAATATCGAACGTTTCGGAGAGAAACGTTGCGGCAATTATTCAAGCGCAAATTTTTGCACTAACCGCGCGTTATCTCATCCAACTGATAGCCGCTAATTAACGTTAATACCTCAGGTGCGCGTTTTGTTTGTCTTTTTTTTTTTTTTTTTTTTTT